GATGGGGGTTGAGTTTTTGTTGTTGTTGGATTATAGATTATTGCTACTTAATAGACCTATGCTAATTTTGATTGAGGGAGCTTTCCAACTGAGCAGTGCTTGGAAACTAATCTCAAAGTGAAATGAAGACTTGGCAATTATTTTCTAATACTCTCAAGGCTAATATGGATAATTCAGAGAACCTTCTCCTCTCCTTTCCCTTTTTTTAAATTTTGTGGGCCAATTAAGAAATGCAGGCTATGGGTTGCTTTGATGGGCATGGAAGTAGAGACTAAATTATACAGATAATTAATTGTGCTTATCTAAATTTAGGTTTAAAAAGTATTTCAAACTTAAGCTCTAATCTTAAATTAAGTGGTAGAGACATCACACTCTCCCTCCCTGTACTTGGGGAACTACAATTGCTATGAGGATCAGGGGTCTGGAAGAACAGGCACAAACATTGCAGACCTTTGGAGCTGTGGAGGCCCAGCTGAGTCAATGATCTGTGCATTCAAGGAGTGTCTCACCTCCCTTCTGGAAACACTACTTCCCCATTCTCTTCCCTCCCTCTTCCACTGTGTGCCCCCCAAATACCTCCACCTACGATCTGAAGAACCAGAGCCTCAAAAGTGGATAACTCTCATTACCAAAAGTCTTTTGGGCACTTGAAATGTTAGGACCTAGCAGAAGTCACTTAAAAAAAAACTGAACTCTTTGGAAACAGATATCAACCATCAATATTTTCTGTGGATCCCCAACCCTACCACCTCTGTTACGAATGAACACTGTGCCTCCATTTCTCTCCACCCTGAATCCCATCACCATCTCCAACATTACTAATGCCTCCTCTTGGCCTCAATCTCCTCCAGACTTCTGTAAATTAGTGTGACCCCAACTTAACTCTGCCCCTTTTTTCCTTTGGAAGTTGTTTGGGGGTGTCCCCTTCCATTCAAACTCATCATTATACAATGGGGGAAGGAAATAGTTCTGTTGATTGAATTAGTATGAGGCATCATTTTCCAGATTTATTAGCAAGCCCTGTAATGTTTTCCCCTCCAAAATATTAAACATGAAATTATGTAAGGATGCTTACTCTGTGAACCCATGAATCACACAGTCCATGGGGTTTTTTGGCAAAGATACTGGAGTGGTTTGCCATTTCCTTTTCCAGTGGACTAAGGCAAAAAGAGTCTGTGCCCAGGGTCACACAGCTAGTGTCTGAGGCCATGTCTTTGGGACTTCAGGCCCAGTACTCTGTCTACTGAGCCACCTAGCTGCCTAAGGATGCTTATTATCTGAAGTATTTTTCAACAAGAAAAAAGACTTAATTTTCTTGGTTTTTCACAAAAATTTCACTACCATTATCTCTCCTGGAAACTGCCCCCCATTGTATTCCCTTCCTCAATCCCCTTCCCCCTCTCACCAAGCATTTATGGCATCCACCTATGTATTGCAAGACCAAAAATGTTTCAGGGCCAAATTCGTTTATTGAATATCGGGCTAAGTGGAGCAGGAAATTTAAAGACCAAAAATATATCAGAGGAAGCCAGGTAACTCCTCTCAGTTTGAGCATGAGCTAATGGTCCCAGGAGTAAGAAGCTTTAGATTTTGGAGGTTCCCAGGAATTATTTAAGAAGCTTTAGATTGCAGCATCCATAGGGATCAGAGAAGTCATGATTCTAGAAATAGCTTTTCCTATTGACGCACAGCCAATGGGTGGTTGTTCTGCCCATTCTGGGTCTTTGCATCTAAGAGCTCAGGTTTGGTGTATTGTTGCCTCCTCCATAATGTCTACCAAAACACCTGCTGGTAAGGAAAAACGGGGTGTGAGGGAGTGGCGGTGTAGAAGTCCGAAGAGCCCAAAGTATGAAGGATGCAGGAAAGAGAACCAATCTCCAACCTTTCTGTTGGAGTCAGGGATGTCAGGGTTTGCCTGAAAAACAATACCAAAAAATTTTCACCTTTCCTGCCCAGCCACACTTCTCCTTCTTCTCTACCTTCATGCCTAGTCTATCTGTTGGGTCCTTGAGCCTGAGGACCCTAAAATTGTCTCTGGAGATCCAGTTCGTTGTCAAAGAAACAGTTTTCCAGAAAATTTTTGGAGCGGGGACAAGAAAGACGTTTCTTAGCTTCTGAGACCGTACTCAATTGAAAAAGGACACTAGATTGTCTAGAGATCATTGACTTCCTCTACCACCTTTCTCTCCCCACCTCCCCCCTCGGCACCTAGCCCTTAGGTCCTAAACTGTCAGAGAGACATCCTCTTCATCCTAAGGGAATTACTTGAAATGGACATAACTTCTAGATAAGCAGGTACATGTATAGTTTCTGAAAAGGTTCGTTTTGCTTAAGAATTCACTTCTGTGGAGTGACTCTTCCCCACATTCCCACCGCAGCTGTGTAGTGCAAGGTTCCCTGCCCCCATCCTCCCCACTCTTTTGGGTCTTCATTTCGGATGGGGAGAAGGAAGCCCTCTTTCCGGAGTGGAGAGCCCCCAGCCTCCTGAGCTCCGACTGAGAAGCCCCAGCAATTAGACTGCGCCCTGCCGAAGGAGCCATAAAAACGCAGGAAGCGACTACTCCAGGGTGAAGGGGAATGGCTTTCCCCAATAAACCCGATTGTTTTCAAAGAATGTCCTGGATTCCAAAGAAGAGCCCTCCGCCCTCTGCCCGGGCCCGGGGTGGACAGCGCGGATGGGTAGGGGGCCCGAACAACAGAAAGATAGATTGTATCCAGGAAAAAAAAAAAGAAAAGAAGAAAGGTGTTTGCTAGATCAAAAGTCTGCAAAATGCACCATCTATTTCTCTCCCCATCCCAGCCAGGAGCAGTGGATTTTACCTTCCAGTCCACCCTTAACTCCATTACCTCTCATTCCGACTAGTATTTAGAATCGGTTGAAACACTTACTACAAAGCTTCCTTTTCAATGACTTCAGATATAAGGCAAGACGGAAATGCAGCATAATACTTTTTTTTTGACCGCATTTTTCTCACCACATTTATTAGGGTACTAGTTGGGATAGTTTGGGTCACGGACAGCCGGCTCATCTTTCCTAGGTGATAGCCCGGACTGGCTGGGACAAAATTTTTGAGATGGGTGAGCTTTCTGGGGTAGAAGAGCTCTTAATACTTTTGGAATACTATTTCTTCCCTTCTGAGTGGAAAGGTGAGATGCGATGAGGGCTAGGAGATCTAATATTAAACAAAGAAGTGTAGTCGCTAGAATCCTGGGCTAGGAGATAGAGGACCCGGGTTCTAGTCCCCGCTCCACCATGAAACCTACATGATCCTGGAGTAGAAGCTCTGAGCCTCAATTACCTGATCTGTAAAATATATGACAACTGATGTTTTCTGCTTCGCAGGATAGTTTTAAGAGGTTCAAACGCGATAAAGTAAGGATCAGAGTTTTAGAAAGTAAAGACTAAGACTCTTAAAGTTATTGTCTGAGCTGATTTAATAAAGAAGAACGTCCAAATGCTTCGGGGCACGGACTCTCAGCTTCCGAGAGGGGAAAAGTTCTAGTGGAATCAGTAAATAAACAGGCCGGACCCTAGCTCTATCCATCTATTCCCTCCTCTTCAGAGTGGTTTGGAAACCCTGTAGGTGGCTGCAATAAGATTCTCTTTAACACTGCCCAGGGGCTTCTAACAGGAATCAGCTCCCATCAATCGAAATCATCTCCAACGAATACGAATTCCCAGCCCAGATACATGCAGTTTCCGTCCCCAATGGGTTGTTTCCAGGAGCAGCCAATGACACTAGCTAACCAGTTCAGGACTCCGGGCAACAGCGAGAGGTCCAAGCAGGATCATCTTCGTTTCAATTCTCAGTTCTCCATGGCTCAGAAAAAATTTCTCTATAGGCTTAGGGTCTGGGAGTGCAGAGGTGGAGAGGAGAGGGTCCCTTGGGGAAAATGTTCATTTTGCCTCAGGGAAGGTTTTTGAATACTTAAAAGTCAATTCTCCTAAGAAGATAGTTGCATCTTTTTTTTTTTTTAAATAACAGAATCCACATTCTCTTGGGATTTTGTAGCAATATAAAAATCCCAAACCTGAAACCTGAATGATCTAAAGAATAAAATCGTTTCAGTCTGAGAATCTTACACATACAAGCTTGACTTGGAGAGGAGACGTAGCCCAGTGCCAGCACCATGATTTATCTTGTGCCACCAGCGAGTCATTTCCTTGAGCTGGAAAATAAATGATTTAGTAGTGACAGGTTTCTGCGGGCGTGTGTCGCCTTTGCTAGAAGCACAGGCTGGCTCCAAAGAAAAGATTCTCTCTTGGTATGTCACGTTTAGTTGCTCAGGGTACCTCGGCCACCATCAGAAGAGAATAAGAAAGGAATCATCAAAGAAATGCTTCCACCCACCCCCAACCCCAGTTTTTTTAAGGGTAGAAAGAGTTTATTCGCCACCCTTGGTGCATAAACAGGAACGCTTTAGCTTCCAAGCCTAGATCCCAGACTCCCACCAAGATATTTCCCTATCTCCCTCCCTCTCTTTTGCAACCCTCTTGATTTAATTCTTTGAACCTGTGATTGGAGGTTAAAGTGCACCAGGTTGGAAGGAGGAAGCTCTTAAACAATAAAGGTTTGAATATTTAGCTGTGATCTGGTCGCTGCCCTCTCCTAGCTCCCTCCTTATCTTTTTAAATGCAAATCTAGTTTAGGGGGGTAGAATGCTATATGCGCCCTGCGCCTCGACGTCTCCTGCCATTGGTGTCTGTGCCATTACTAATAGAGTCTTGTAAACACTCGTTAATCACGTAAGTGCTTCAGCCTGGGAACTCTACTTGCTAGTTGCAGGAACGTCTCCGACTCCGCAGCCAAGTTTCTCCTACTTTGCTGGGGAGAAACTCAAGGAGGAGCTGAGCGTGGCTCAGGCGCGACCAACCACCCCCCCCTACTCCACCCTTTCCCTTCCCCACTCCCTTTTCCCTTCCCTCCCCTCCCCACTCCCAACCTCCAGCATCCCCACCCAGGCAGCATGGTGAGATCTGCTCTGGAGTTCCTGCCACCATGTACGTGAGCTACCTATTGGATAAGGACATGAGCATGTACCCCAGCTCCGTGCGCCATTCTGGCGGGCTCAATCTGGCGCCGCAGAACTTCGTCAGCCCCCCGCAGTACCCGGACTACGGAGGTTACCACGTGGCGGCTGCGAACTTGGATAGCGCCCAGTCCCCCGGCCCCTCTTGGCCCTCTCCTTACGGCGCTCCTCTCCGGGAGGACTGGAATGGCTACGCACCGGGAACTACCGCTACAGCCAATTCAGTGGCGCACGGTCTCAATGGGGGTTCCCCTGCCGCAGCTATGGGATACGGCAGCCCCGCCGATTACCATTCACATCACCACCCGCACCACCACCCTCACCATCCAAGCACTGCACCCTCCTGCGCCTCCGGGCTACTGCAAACACTCAACTCCGGGCCGCCGGTGGCCGCTGCAGCTGAACAGCTCTCTCCCGGCGGCCAGCGGCGCAACCTGTGTGAATGGATGCGGAAACCGACGCAGCCCTCCCTGGGCGGCCAGGGTAAGCTGCAAGCTGCGCGGGGCTAGGGGACCAGGACTTCTGAAAGTGGAGAGAGGGGCAAAGGCCGCAGGAAGTCCAACTGCAGGGGCGGCTCCAGGAGCCTGTAAGGCTGGAGCTCTGGGGGGCGTCTATAGAATCTCAAACCCTCAAAACTTGGGAGAGAGATGGAAACTGGGAACAAATCCCGGGTCTTCTAGTCTCTGGACCGGGAGGGGGTGACGTGTAGTAAGTTTACCTGTGGCATGCCGAGAACGGGTCGGAAAAAATCCAGGGACCAAAGTAAAGAATGATTAGGGAAATGAACCTTTTTTTTTTTTTTTTTTTGACTCGATAGTCCCGTATTCTGCTCTCTCTTTCCAGACTTGGAGAAGAGGAGTAGGAGTAGAGGCGGCTACAGGTAAAGCTGGAGTCTTGGTGAACTCTGAATAGCTGGATTAAGTATAGAATTGCCCACGGCCTCTGTTTCCCACTGTTGTTTTTTTCGATTCCTTAACCGCTGAATCCTTTTTTCCCTTCCCTCCACCACCACCATATTCTCTTGGAGTATGGCCCTAAACCTAAGAGAAAGCTGGAAATCCAAATAATTCTTTCTAGCTTTCTGGCTCCTTGTAAAAGACTGAGAAAATAAACGAAAACATTGAGGTCTCCCAAGGTCCAAGTATAGGATGATTTCTCAATCTTTTTTCCGAACAAACTGTGCAACCAAAGAGACCAGGATGGTCATAGGATCACAGATTTGAAACTGGTAGCGAACTTAAAAGCCTTCTAACCCAACTGCCTCATTTTGCACTTGCAGCCACAAGGACCGAGAGAGGTTGGTTATGTGACTCGCCCAACATCATACAAGTAGTAAATGGCACAACTGGGATTTGAACACAGGACCTCTGGTTCCAAATTGAATTTGAGTTCCTCCTCACGCTCCTGGGAATGTAGAATGATTTGTACTATGGCGGGGGCGGGGGGCGGGGTGGTGAATACTGGGCCTGTTTCTCTATGTGGTTCAAGGCTAGGAGTTAAGCCTCCAGTATGTGAGGGAAGTAGGGGCACTCTGCTCTGTAGCTGCAGACTGAGAGCCCCGCCCTGGCTCGGGTAAGGTCCAGAGAAGCCATGGGGAGGGGGGGGAACCGGACTCAGCTTGTCCTGTTCTTTGAACCTTTGTTCTGAGGTGCTGGTGGGGGAAGGGGAAGCGCTGAGGTTGGAGAGAAAAGGCTTTCACTTCTCAAGCAAGAGAGGGATGGAGTCCTCAGGTGGGGTAGTGTCAGGGCAGAGGAAACTATTGCCAATTACTCCTTTCTCCGGAGTTTGTTCTTTGGCGATTTGGCTTTGGGAGAGGAAGCGGTATAAGAGTGTAGGAGGAAGGCTCAGTGACCTTTTCTTAAATGTTTTCTTCGGAGACCCATTCCTCTTCCTCTTCTCACCTATAATCGGAGTGGCAGCCACTTAAATTTTTATAACCAATTACTGCCATATAAATCATTGGTAGCCGTCGCTGGGCATTGGTTTCTCAGTCATTGGACACATACCTCAACGAACAAAACACTTCCCTGAAAGCCTAAATTGGAAAGACTATTTGAGAAATTTAACTCGTTTGAGGGGCACGCGGGCGACCCAGAGCCCAGAGTAATTAATTGTTATGGAATCCTATTTGACCACCTTTTTTAGAATTCCAAAGGCGAGAAGACCTTTGCCAAAACTTGACTGAGACGTGACTTTAAGGAGTTGAAGGCCATCTTCTTGTATATCCTGGGGAGATTGGGGGGTGGGAGTGGAGAAGGGAAACTGCAGGAGCTAGGACTACCCAGGGTCACTGGAGGAGAATACTGTGAAGTCCCGCATTGAGGTGGCAAGGACACCGCCCGGCGCCTAGCCTCCCTTGTGATGCTAATGTCTCCGGAGCCCCTAGCCTGCAAGTCCAGTGGCCCGCTCCTCTGCTGAGCTTCATCTGTCAAAGCTCGGGGGAGGGGGCTGGTTGCCGGCTTGCTTTGATATACACCTTCCCAGCCCTGCCATTGTCCCTTTTACTGTCCGGAAAAAGGGTGGTGACTTTTCGCAGTCAATAATGAATTCTGACATGTCCATCTCACCCTCTGGACCTCCCCTCCCCCTAATCTTCCCACCCTGGTTCTCAGGGACTGAGGGCTGCCCTGGATACAGACTCTCAGTGAAGAGAGGGAAGAATGGAGAGAAATGAGGAGAAAAGGGGTCCACGGTTAGCTGCAGTATGCATAAGCCACCGCTGCTTTCCCCGACCTGGAACTCAGTCTCTAAAGAGGAAGGCCCTTCGTTACTGGAGTTCAACCACACAGGCTCCCAGGGAGGGAATTGGTTCTTGTGGCTGTCAAAGCAAATGGGCGTGCTCCCAGGTCTTGGGTTTCTCGGGGTTCCTGAGCCCTGTTTTCCTTCTCTCTGAAGGTGCGGGTGGATGGTGTAGTCTCTATTCACATGCAGCCTCCAGAACCCGTGTTTATGTTAATATGCACGGTGGGGGTAGGGGATGAAAGCTCGCGCCGCCATTTGTTCAGTAGTGGTAATTCAAACAGAATGCAGTTGTTATTAAGGCATTGAAAGGGCTTTTCTTTGATAAGATCGCCCTGTTCTGCATTGTTTGTGCTGGTGTTCTCCTTTCTGCGGCCTGCGGAGCTCCCTCTGATCAATCCTGTATCTTCCCAGGACGCTTTTGTTGTGGTTTGCAAAGGGTTTTACCTGAACAAAGTCAGCCTCCAGGCCATTAAACACCTACAGGCAGATCCTGGGGACCACTTAGATCTTCCTCGTGGACTCAAAGAGCTACCGAACCTGTTCCTCAAGGAACGGATCTGGGATAAAAGTCTTGAGAAGTGGGGCAAGTGGGACAGATGACGTCTGCTAAGGGGATAAGGCAGAAATCAAGAGAGGGCTGGTTTGGGACAACTACTTTAGTATCACCATCCTCTCTATTTGTCATGGCCCTTAAGGGAAACAATCATTCTGAGATTAAATATGTTGACTCAGGCCAATAAGCACAGATCGCCTTTTGGGATAATTCAGTTTGCAGCAGAAAGAAAGAAGAGGGTAGAGCCGATAAGCTGGGCTAAAAAAACTGCTTAGGGTAAAAATATCCCATTGGGAGTTCTTGTATCAGGATACCTGGTTATAGTTTCTATAAATTGATTCATTTCTGAAAGTCAAGCTGAATATTAGAGCATTAGGATGTTTTCTGGCGGGTAGGGGTCAGTTGTAAGGGTGGAATCTGGAGGAAGGTACACTAAGGGTTTTTTTCTTTTCTCCTATGTACAACAGCCTCCCACTTATTAAAGTAGGCAACCTCAATAAAAGTAAAGCCAACCCCAGTGGTTGTCCAGTGGAGACTGGACCTCTTAACAATCCCAGCTTCACCGAACCGAAAGGAGCTCTTTTCCTGAATTCTACAGTGGAGTTGTTAATTGTGACATTTCCTAAAATTTGTTCACCTCGTGTTTTTTTTTTTCTTTCTTAGTGAAAATGTCCTCATTACTGGGTTTCAGTGTGGGAAAATATCTTCTTTTGTTCTTCCTCCTCCCCCACCCCCAGAGAGGGTGGAACTATTTTTCCTTTGTGTATGAGTAGTTTTGGTTTAACTTCACTTTTTTAATTAAAAAAAAACCACCTCTTGAGAGTCGGTTTAGATCTCCTTAGGCCTTCTCCTGCCACTTTGTCAGATTCTGCTAAGCTGGCTTATCCAAGTGGCCCCACGCATCGGTTGAGGAAGAGAAATGGCCTCCTGGTTAAAGAGATTTGTCATTATACTTTGACTGATGGGCTCTGGCCTCGTCTTCCTGTCGTGACTTCTCCTTCCTCTGCAGTTAAAACCAGGACGAAAGACAAATACCGAGTCGTGTACACCGACCACCAGCGGCTGGAGCTGGAGAAAGAATTTCACTATAGCCGGTATATCACCATCCGGAGGAAAGCGGAGCTGGCTGCCACACTGGGACTATCTGAGAGACAGGTGGGTACCCTTCTCCTAGTGGAAGTGATGGTGCAGTTCTGAGACCGAGGCAGGATAAGAAAGTCAAGTTCTGGGTGCTCCCAATGAGCTAAGTGGGACCAGCAAGACTGGAAGGGGTAGAAGATCAACGATTCCTTCTGGCTTTTGTATTTCTTGCTCCACCCCTTCCTACCCCCACCTTCCTTTTCTTTTGTATTGTTCACATGTTTTTGTATGTGAAGGGGAAATGTGAGAAGGAAGGTTCTCAATTTGAATAGGAATTCAGCCAGAATTTATTGAGAGCAAGATGTACATATATGTGTGTATAATACCTATATATGTCTATGTACATATAGTCACGTGTGTATATATATACACACATACATATATACATACATTCAGCATTGTGTTAGACACAGATGGAAAATTACAAAGAAATTTAAGATATAGCTCCTGTCCTCCAGATGCTTACAGTCTAGTAAAAGACTGAGGCTGAGACACATGAAACCACTATGGATCATCAAATACCAGGAAAATGGCCTTATTTCATCACAAAAAAAGTCACATTTGGAATCTCAAACCCACATTCCATAAGATTTCCAGTCCTAGGATGGGAGTAGTGTGTGGCTTACTTTCCCTTGAGGAGCCTAAAATTGCCTTTTAAAATGCACCCAGAGGCTGGCTTGGTCCTTTGTAGGCATGAGCCTTATGCCTTTCCCAGTTTTGAATCAATTCTGGTGAAAATTTTGAGAAAGTTTGCTTTGGTAGAAAGACAGCTGAGTATGAGAAGAGTCTGGGAGAAGAGGAGAAACCTTTTTAATTGTGACTCAACTGGGTTTAGAAACACTTCCAGGAAACTGTTGGGAATGGAGAAATCTGAGGGTAAATTGGGAGTTCCAGAACCTTACTTCACTTTAGGCAATATGAGATGTGCATGGGAGATACAAGCTCTGGGGATCCTGCTGTGGTCCTCTCATTCTCACATTGCCCTTCTCATTTCTCTTCCCCCCCCTCCCCAATTTTCAGGTTAAAATCTGGTTTCAAAACAGAAGAGCCAAGGAAAGAAAAATTAATAAGAAGAAATTGCAGCAGCAACAGCAGCAGCAACCACCTCCACCTCAGTCACAGTCTCAGCCTGGTGCTTTGAGAAGTGGCCCAGAGCCACTAAGTCCAGTAGCCTCCCTGCAAGGCTCAGCACCAGGGTCTGTCCCTGGAGTTCTGGGGCCTGCTGGAGGAGTGTTGGCCCCCACCATCACACAATGACCCACATTGTGTGTGAGATAGCCACAAGACTGGAGTGGTTCCAGGCTGGGTATGGGAAGGAGTGCTGGGAAGGACTGGCTTCTGCCCTAACTAGGAGATCAGTACCATCCCCATTGTAAGTGAAAAAGGGACCCAGAATAAGTGGACTGGGGAATCCCCATAGAAGTTAGCCTCTCATATCTGACTTTTCATGACTCCTTCCATTCTGGAGAAGCAAGCACTGGGCACCTGGACTCCACGGTGTTGGCAAAGCTGAATAGACATTGCTTTTCTCTCCGCTCCTTAGCACCTTCAGCTTCCAAAATCTAAAGGCTTCACCCCCAACAGGAAGCTGAGCAGATATAGTGGACAGAAAGTGTTTGGTGCCATTCGTGACTTCTCTCACTTCCTCCAAGGCCAAGAAGGCCCATTTGTCCTGGGTCAGAAGATTTGAACTCAGAAACCAAAGCAGAGAAAGACAGAAAACTGTACCTTAGAGGCAGCTGAACCCAAAGTGATTGGTGTCTCCTTCCTCCTTATTCTCTCCCTACACCAAATCAGGGAGGGAACAGTTGTCAGGGGGTATTCTGGGCTCCAGACCTTGGGAGAAAACACGGCCTGGAGAACTGGACATTGTTTAGAAAGCCTGTCACCCTAACCTCTCCAGGCTGAATGTGTGTTTGGTGTCATAAATGCCAGAGCCAACCTGGGTTTCCTGTCGTTTTCACAAACTTGAGGCTGGTGTAGAGATTTCTTTGTTGTTATTGCTGTTCTGGAGTTGTTGCTCTTTCACCATGCTATTCTAAAGTTATTCTGGATTGAGGAGGGGGAAGAGAAGTGATATGATATAAGGGAATGGGGAGAGGGTGGGGGGCGGAAAAAGGGAAAGAACACTGAAACACATTTGAATATATTCTAAAAAAAAGAAAAAAAAAGGGGGAGATAAATGAGCTTGCCAGACTTCAGACTCCTATTTATCTGCCTGAGATTTTATCTGGAGTTATCTTAAAAAAAAAAAAATTAAACATCTTCACTCCAGTCATGAGCTAAAGCTTAAAGCATCAGGGGATTACATGACTGGCCTCACACTTTCCTGGAGGGTCAGCTTTAGGGAGCAGATCTTGTGCCCTCATTGCCATGCAAAGCCTTCCCCCCACCTGCGGAATTTGTTTCTAACCCTGAGTCTTGGGGCAAAATGCATTTGAATTATCAGCTGCTCTGTCCCAGATCTTTGGAGCTATCCGGGGCCACCCCTGCCCGAGGAAAAAGACCTAACCTGGGTCGACCTCAAGCTTAGCCAACTGCCCAGTCCACTCGGCAGGTCCTTTTATCGGCGACCACCCGGTTCCATTCCCAGCAGGTCTCTCACAAACCAGTTATCTGAAAGAAAAACATCGACTGAAATGCAAATTTTTCACCTTTATCCTGCTAAATACGTAAAGTTTCCCACAAATCGTTGTTACCAGTCTTACTGGTAGTTTCAAGGTTCTAGAGCTTTCCCTCTTTCCCATCTCGTCCCTTTTTATGTTTCTTTCCTCCCTCCCTCCGATGAATTAAAAGGGATGCATCGGAAAGGCCTTTCATAACCCCAGTTTATTTTCTGGGCTCTCCCTTCCGCGGCTGGAGAAGTTGAGTCCTTTGCTGAGACAGGCGCCAGATTTGGGTGAAGGGCCTTCAGAGGGTGCCTGCTGCGGCCGGTAGCAACCACCCAGCACTTCACCTCCAGGGCGGGGAGACTGGGAACCGCATTCCCGCCTGCATGAATTTCAAACCACTATCTGTAATCTTCTGTGCTGCATATTCTGTTAGTCCCTGGGGCAGAGGGAGGGGGCGCCTGGCTGGTTAGAGTATCAGGTTAGTCGACCGACCGAGGGGAAGCGCACCTAAACCCTTTCGTGGTCTCATTCTACCTCCTAGACTGCAATCTGTCGTAAACCCAGGGAAAGGTTGGAATCTCCCACTTTTTCGCAGGATGGACTCGAAGAAATACGAAAGCAAAACGAAACAAAAGAAAAGCTTGGAATGTCGCAGCAGTTCCAGGGATAGAGTAGGTTCTTGTTTCTTTGCCGATTCTGAAGAAAAAGTTGTCCGTGCGCGCCCGCAATCAACGGGGTTTATAGTGCAGTATGGATTGAATGCAGCACTTGGAATAAGATAGCCCTTGGTTCGAATCCTGTTACAGACCCTTCGTAGCTGTGTGACATTTAACCTTTCTGGGGCCTCACTTTTCTCATCTGTAAATAACCTAGTTGGTTATTTTATTTAGAGTGGTCTCTAAAATCGCTTCTAGATTTTAGGTAAGATTATGATATGCAGACTCAAACCGGCTCCCTTGGTCCTGGAGATGGTTGCCTCATGGGCCCCCTCTGTTGAAAGTGAGGTTTTTTTTAACAGTCTAGATGCTGTGTTGGTTAGGCTTATTGTAAAGGAATACTCCCTTTAAATTTTTCCCCCCAATTATATGTAAAAACTATTTTAAACATTCTATTTTTAAAACTTTTGAGTTCCAAATTCTCTTCCTCCCTCCCTGAGACGGCAAGCATTTTGATATAGGTTATACATGTACATTCATGCAAAACATATTGAAAGAATACTCTTGCGGAAGAAAACATCCACTTTTTAATTATACTACCTCGCTCAGTCGTAGGCCACGTGTGTTAGGGAAGAAAGCGCTATAAAAAGGAAAGACGCTGTCCAAAGCCCACAGTCTGACACTCCTGGGCTGGCAGCGCAAGGCCAGAGGGCAATACAGCCCAACCTGCCAGTCCCTGGGGCGCCAGGCTGTGGTGAGGACCTCCCCAGCTGGGCCCCGCCCACGCCGTTGATCCCAGGGCAGGGCCACGGGGGTTCGCTGCCGCTTTGGCCGCAGCCGTTGCTATGCGTTGCTGTGAAACGCCTGTCAATAAATCCTGTTTGGATAGTGGAGCAAGAGCACAAGGTTTGTTTGCTTAGTGGCTAGAGGTTCAAAAGTCGGCATTGTCCCACTGCAAGCGATTACAAGTTCCCCTTCCTTAGTACCACCTCCTCCCTCCCTCCCACCCCCGACCCGGACTCCCCAGGTTACCCTGGAGGAGTAGACCTCAGGGACCCAAGCTCTGTGAAATGCAAAAATCCTTGGCTACCGCTGAGCTCAGGCAGCAAATTTCCCAGGCCACAGGAAATGCAAAGAAATTATGGCCCCCAGGGCAAGGTAAACTGCCCCACGTTTCCGACACGGGGCCATAAACTCTCCCCCTTGGAACAGAGGGAGGCCAGTCGCACGGAAGGCAATCCTCGCGATCTAGAGCGAGTAATAGAGCTGCCACCTGGGGGCTGCTTTAGAGAGGATGGAGCGCTGAGGTGGTCAAGTTTATTTTTCAAAAGATGACACAACTTTCTTAACGCCTCAGCTCCCGCTCCCAATCCCCGCACACGGCCCGCTCCCAAGCCGAGCAGCTCGGGAGCTTTTTGCAGGGGCCTCTTAGGAGGCCCGCACTTTGGGAGAAGGGGAGGGGGTGGTGGCGAGGAGCGGTCGGGGCTTTGAGCGCATGCGCAGCCCCGCCGGGTGCGGAGCTTGAAGACTACCTTCTGATCGCCAGGTAGGTTGGGAAAAGCCCCCGGCTGCGGTTTGGGCCGCTTTGAGCTCCTCCCCTCGTCCTCCACCTATCCTGGTGTCAGGGACTCAGGCGTTTTTTTCACTGGAGAACGGGCCACCTTTGGGTCTCTGTCCTGAAAAGTTTTGCCTTCAAATTCAGTAGGGCTAGAGTTTCCCCATTAGAGGAATTTGCTACGTGGAATATTTAAATGAAGCCGGGCTTGGAAATGTTTACCTTTAAAAAAAAATCTTTTAAATTAATCGCAGCCTTAACGAGACAGCGTGGCATGGCCGATAGCCTGAAAAAGTTACGAAGCCGTGAGTTCGAGTTCTACTTCTTAACACTTACCAGCTCTGTGACCCTTGACAAGTCACTTGACCTTTTGGTGCCCCAGGCAAGTCCTAAGGCTATAAATTTCAGAACAAGTTACTGATCTGCTTGAGTGGGCCGAAGGACCCCACTGGGTGATGTTACAACCACTGGGTGATATCACAGTTCTGGACCAGGGAACAAAAAACGAGGGGAAAGGGGGACATAAATACTGAATGCTTATTGTAGGGGATAGAGTACTAGATTGGGAGTCAGAAAGACCAGAGTTTGAAAGCCACTTCAGACATGTGTTAGCTAGCTGTTATTTTGGGCAAGTCATGCAACCTCTCAGAACCTCAGTTTCTTCATCTCTAAATCTGGGCTAACAATAGCACCTACCCCGGAGATCTGAGGATCATAGATTTAAAACTGAAAATAAGTCTTAGCTATCCTAGCAAATATTCCAGGTTTACAGATTGGGCAGTCTGAGGCCTAGTGATGTGATGCAGCTTTTCCAAGGTCTGCTGCTTGCAGGTATAAATAGCAGATTGCCTACCACTCTATGAAAATTCTCCATTCCATAAATGGTAAAATCTAATATTTGTTGTTTTACCTAGATGGTTCTTAATTTTTAAAATATTCATTTTTACATGCTTTTATAACCTCTCCCACTGACCGTCCCCAATTAAACAATGAAAAAGAAAAAGAAAATGAAAATTCTGGTAACAAATATTTATGTCTAGCTGATCTTTCTGAGTTCAAATCTGGCCTCAGACACTTACTAGCTGTGTGACCCTGGGCAGTCACTTAACCCTGTTTGCCTCAGTTCCTCACCTGTAGCTCCAGAACGAAAGGGCAAACCACTGTAGCATCTTTTCGAACAAAACCCTAAATGGGGCCTTGAACAGTTGGACATAACTGAACAACACTTATGAGGATTAAATAAGGTAATAAAGGCTATGGAAATTTTTAAGTATTTCAAAGATCCCTAATTTCATGGATGTGGGTTTTTTCTTTACCTGGAAGAAAGATTGAAGAACTTTCCAGTCCTGGGTAGACTGTTTCATGAGTTTGATTCAACAAGCATCCATTAAGCACTTACCATGTTCTAGTGCCCATACAAAGACAGAAACAGAA